CCATACACACAGTGTGTGAATCAGAAGTAAACAGGTTCTTTTCGCAAGAAGAAATTATATTGGGGTGCGGTGGGGTGGAGGAGCGTTCCTGCATGTGTCCCAGGGCAGCCACTGGACACTGGTCCTCGAGCCACACCAACGGGCTGCATGCAGCCAGCGGGATCAGCGCCTTGGGCTGCATGGTAGTGGGATAGCCTCAAGCACCTATTTGAAGGCTCCTCTGCAGATAGGCTGAAATGAATATTCCTTTGGGCCACAGGCAGCCATGGGACCTGTGGGGAGGGGGTAGCCTGGGGTGGCCAGGGCATAAACTTGAGGCTGGAGCCATGTCTCTGGTACCACTTGCAGCCTCTCCCCCATGGTCACAGGTTTCTGTGGAACACAAAGACAAAGCCTTGCTTTGTAGCGCACGGCATCCAGGGGGCTTGCAGCCAGAATTGGAAACTGCAGCTTTTCCATTAAGTGTAACCTCTCCCCCTTCAACCGGCCACCAGACTCCTTCAAATCTGGAGAGGTGGGAGAAGCTGTAAACCCCTGCCCATTAAATTGCTTATTAGTTGCAGATTTCCAAGCATGTAGGCAAGTATTTTGAGACTGCATGTCTCATACTGTCCCCTCAACCACAGTCTGGGGTATTTAACCACGTTATGCAGAAAAGGGGGCAGGACCCCCATTCCCAATTGCAAGAAGTGGCCTTGCAAACGTTTTACTTGCTTTCCCCCAAGTCTTACTCTAAAAAAGAGAAAAAGACACAAACACGACCCTCCTCAAGCTCAGAATGTCTTTCAAGTTGGTGTTTATCTTTTTAAAGGGGTGTTCTACCCATGACCCAGCTTTAGTCTATCCACACAACGCCCCCACCCTCAAAGCCTGATCTGAAACAAGCTGAATCTCTTTAAGTTCCTAAACCCGAGAAGAAAAAGGAGAGGGAGGGAGGGAGGCTGGTTTTCCTGGAACCCTTATTAAATCAACTTTCCAAAGACAGCCAGAAACTCCAGGCCCTCCCCACTCCCTCAGGAGCATTTGCAGACTGGGGGAGGGGTTTTCAACACACACACACACACACACACACACACACACACACACACATTCACACTCACAGCAAAGCCTTTCTAAAGAGGAAAAGCTCTCAGTGTGAGCAAGGTTTTGGGTAGTTTGCTTTAAACCTTTGCACAAACTTTTTACACACAGATTACACTCTTTTTCTGAGGACAACAGCAGGATTATTATTTAGCAATCAGCAGGGCCAAGATTACATAACAATATTTTACATTTATTTGTGAGATACCTTATAGTTTACAAAGCATGAAGATAGACTGTCCCTTGTGACTTCACAACAGTTCTCCGAAGACGATGGGGCATGTGTCCTGTTATCACAAGGCTCAAGAGGGATAAGTTATGTGAAAGGGCTGCACTAGGAGAGGGACTTCGGCAATCAAACAGGGAACTGTTCTCCAGGTCCAGTGGATTTCTACTTCTGTGTCCTCAGGCATTCCAAGTCCACCCATGACACAAGCCCCTCATCATGGGCTGTCTCCTGGGAGAAGGGGTCCCAGGAAATGGGACCCACAACTGCCATTTATTGTTCTAGGAGCTTTGTATACAGTTTCATTTCATATTCACTATGACGTTAGGAGTAGATGTTTATTATCAATATAAGTTATTGAGGTGCAAAGAAGAACTTTCCCTAGAGCCAACAGTCAGGAAGAAGTAGAGCCAAAATCAAAACCAAGGCAGTCCAGAGAAAACTTATGCTCACACAAAGACTTGTACACAAATGTTCACAGGAATTTTAGTAATAAAGCCCAAACTGTTAACAACCTAAAGCAGCAGTTGCCAACCAGTAGTCTGTGGACCACTGGTGGTCTGTGAGGTCCGAAAGGTTGGCGACCGCTGACCTAAAGGACCATCAACAGGTGAATGAATACATATTCACCATATAATTCCATTATATATGATTCTAGAAGAGGCAAAGGTAAGCTGTAGTGACAGAAAGTGGATCAGGCTCAGCCGGTGTGGTTCAGTGGTTGAGCATTGACCTATGAACCAGGAGGTCAGGGTTCAATTCCCAGTCAGGGCACATGCCAGGGTTTTGGGCTCGATCTCCAGGAGGGGATGTGCAGGAGACAGCTGATCAATGATTCTCTTTCATTACTGATATTTCTATCTCTCTCTCCCTTCCTCTCTGAAATCAATAAAAATATATTTTAAAAAAGAAAAAGAAAAAAAGGAAGTGGATTAGTGGTTGCCAGGGGTCTGTGCTACAAAGAGGCCTGAAGGAAGTTTTGAGGGGGATGAAAATGTTCTATATCTTGATGGGGCTGGTAGCTACGTTTATCAAAACACATCGAACTATACAGTTAAAATGGTCTATTTTACAGAATATAAATTATACCTCAATCAAGTTGATTTTCTGTAAGTGGCCATCTGACTTAACTCTTTACTGCTGCACAGCCTCCGAATGCCCCCTCACCTCTCCTGTGCCCTCCTTCCTGTTCAGGGGCCTGCACTTTGTCCTCATCAGGACCTCCAGCACTCTGGCTCCATCCTCCATCACTGCCCCGGCTTCCTTTCCCTGTTGGACCCACAGCCAGCAGCTTCATTAACCCCTCCACCACTTCTACCACCACCCCTAAAATTCCAAAGCTTGTAGCTTTAGACACCCCCTTTCTGCTTATAAGGGCCCAGGCTACCCTCCATTTGGGGGCTGCAAAAGAGTTTCTTAGAGAAAGGTGGGTTTTTTTTTGTTTAAAAGTACTTTAGGGTCCATCATAAACTCACATTCTCACATCTCATCCAAGCCCTCCTTGCTTTTGGACTCTCTTATCACCATCTTCACTGTGGCAGATCCAAATCGTCTCTACTCCTCACAAACCTCCCCACCTAACTTACTCCCCTCACCTCACCTTGTCTGTGTCTCTAGTTACCGGAGTTGCCATCCAACCTACTTAAACCAACCCATAGATTCTATTTCTATAGTGTCGCCGATATTTTTTCCTTCCTTTACAACCTCAGGGCCCCCAACCTAGTTTAAACCCTCACTTCCTTTAGCTAAACATTAAAAACAAACTTCTAACTCTCTTTCCGGAGCTCCTAACATTTTACATTTAGGTGCTTTGTCTGGATCAGCTCACTTAATCCTTTATTGTTGTCCCCATGTTAAAGATGAGCAAACTGTCCTGGCTGAGTTGGTTAGCATGTCGTCCCAAAACACCAAGGTTGTGGGTTCAATCCCTGGTCAGGGCACATACAAGAATCAATAGATGAATGCATAAATAAGTGGAACAACAAATCAATGTGTCTCTCTAAAAATCAATAAATAAGATTTAAAAAAAGATGAGCAAACCAAGGCTTAGTGTGTTTGACTAATTTGTCAAAGCAAGTAATGCAGCTATTAAGTGGTGGAGCAGAATTCAAACAAGTCCATCTTCTTCTTCTTCCCATCCATCCAAATTCAGCTACCAGGTTAGTTTTCTAAAAGTGTAAAACTTTTCAAGATTCCCAGTATCTACCACTTAAGTATAGCAAGGCATTAAGGCCTTCCATATGCTCATAACTCAATCTAATTTTTCTGGGTGTTACTTCCCACCACTACCTACCTACTTACCAGGTAAATCATTCTCTGTACACCTTATACATCCTGCCTCAGAACCATCACTCATGCTGTCCCACCTGGAATGCCTATCAGTTCCCTCTTCCAAACCCCTTCCCATCCCTCTGGACCCATCTCAAATGTTCTCTGCTCCCCTTGTCCTCTGCATGCCCACTGCATTTTGTTGTAACTCCATTGTGTGGTTTAAACATGGTCTACCTTGTATTTAGATAATCTCTGTACTTACTGGTATCTCCCCACTACCAGATGGTGGACAAGGTCTCTCCTGCTTTGGGTCTTTGTCATGTGCTAGCTCGGGTCTTGTCTTTAGTTCTGTTACTGAATGCAACATTAATCTGCCTGCTCCAGCCAGTGCACACTCTAGAAAGTCTCACGCACCCTTCCCTCCTCCTTCCCCATCACTATGCAAGTGGACAAATATTCTCACTCATCATTTATGATTCAAATAGGTCCTGACAGCTGAGACTGACAACCCCTTTAAATGCAGTCACCATGCCATGGGCACACTGAGCCTTTTACCCACCGCCTGCCAACCTTCTCTATTTATGTAATCAGCCACTGAATCACAAGCCACACACCCTTTGGCTGCAGAAAAGCTCAAATATTAATTCTTAGAGATCCATGAAAGTCCCCAGGTATGTTGTACCTGTAATCTCCATGAAGTATTTTTATAACTCCAGCAAATCCCATGAGCAGCAGGGCAAGTCCTTCCCATTACTAATATAATAAGCTCTCTGCACTTCCAACAAGCTGTAGATCTCTCCCGGCTCCCAGGCCCCATTATGCTCCCTGGTTCTCAATCTCTTCCAAATCTCTCCAACAGCACATACCCTCAGCCGACCTCCAAACAGGGCCTGTGGGATGTGGTCAAGAAAGGTAAATGGCAAGCCCGTGGCCATAGCTGCCAACCCTCACAGAAGATGTGTCTCTGGGACAATTTTAGAAGCCAGATGTCTTTATCAAGCTCCCACATCCCTCAACAATCCCTGTAGCCTGATGTAAGTTCTAACCCCAAATTCATAGGTCATTCACTCCCCATTGCATCACCCAACCCCATTTCATTAATGGTCTAAGTTAGAGAGCTGGCTCTTGGATCCCAATCAAGAGTTCTTTTTTCAGAAGAGAAAAGCATAAAACCACCTAGAGCATGTCACCTCTGACAAATGATGTCACCAGCCTTCATGACCCAACTTTTCGTGAGGTTGGTTATGTTTATAATGAGGCCCGAACCAGCCCAGGTATCCTGGGAGTCTTTCCTACAGGAAAAGAGCCCTTTGCTCCACCGGGGACGAGCCTTCCACATCACCTCCAAACACATCACCTCCGTCCCAGCCGGCCCTGTTTCCAAGGGCCGGAAGTCCGGGCTCACCCTCAGCCAGCGCCTTACCTTGTTCAGGCAAGGTCGGGGCTGGCCTGGCAGTGCAGAGTGTGGCTGTGACCAGCACAGCCCAGAAGAGGAGGCACTTCCAGCTCCACATCCCAGTTCTGCAGTTAGAGGTTGGTGACAAGGCTCCACACCTCCATGGAGACTCCGCCCTGAGCTTGAACCTCCTTTTCAAGCTGACTCTGAGAAAAGAAAAAAAAAACAACAAAAAATTAGGAGGGTCTGCATTGGTGGTGGGGGGTGGGGGGAGAGCAAGGAGCAAAAGAAGGTAAAGCAGGCACACAGTCACCCTGTCCACAGGGTGCTTGAAGTAATAACTTACTCCTTGAAGCACAGAGAACTATGGTCTGCCCCAATGCAGAGTTCAAGGTTAAAGGCCTTACTCAGAGAAAGGAGTGTTTTCATCCAGTTCTACAATTATTTACTGAATGTGGACTGTGTACAAGCTTTGCTGAGAAAATCGTCATGAAGTTCTCTAAGGCATAAGCACCAAGATCACTTGTGCTGGGAAAGCAAATGACTTTATGAAAATCCCAAACAGGTCCGCCGCTTCATGGGCAATGGCATCTCAGAGTATGCTGGAGCCTTCAGTATGCTGATGACTCTAGTCTAAGACTTCACTCCCTCCAGGGCAAAACAAAGGGTTTGGTGTGGGTAAAGAGAGACAAAGAGCCTGGCCTGTAGGGGGCGTGCAGGAGGCAGCCAATTGATGTTTGGCTCTCACATCCCGGCTCTCACATCCATGTCTCTCTCTCTCTCTCTCTCTTAAGGCAAGGACTAGGAAATGGGAGCCAAGTAAGATACTGACCCTCTCTCGACCTATGTGACGAGGAAGCTGAAAAAAAAAAATGATCTCCAAGGTGCTTTTTGTCTTGAGAACTATACGCATCGCAGGGATCTCAGGTTCTATCAGCTTCCCTCAGGGAGAGAACACAACTCTCGCCAACTCCTTAAAAAGAGCCTTATGGTGCGGAACCGTGAGGTGGGTCCAGTTCTCTTCCCTGATGCTGAAAGGTGACAGCTGGTGTCTGATAGAAATGAATCCAGAAGTGGGAAACAAAGGGTTGTGCTGAAGAGTCAAAGGGCTCTTGCTCATGTCAGCCCTGGTTAAAAGCATAGTCTACAGCCCTTTAACTTTCTCAGGTCTGGAGTGGTAAAATTTAAGACAACCCCCCAGAGTCTTAAGGAACAAGGGATTGTTGCTGCTAAACATTTACCGAGTGATAAGACTTTCTGGGCACTGTTTGGGCTATATCGGGGTGACCATCTCCATCTTCCAGGTGGCTTTTGTCCTAAATACTCTAGGGAACCATCCAAGTTATTCAGAGAATCCACTTCCCCGGAACATGCCCTAATGTGGTGCTTCAGCCCTGCCTCCTCTCAGCCAGACGGGGCCCCTGTGAGTGAGTCAGTCTCGGCTGGCAGAAACCCCCCGGATTCTTGGCTTCGTTCACGTGTACTTGCCAGTGGGAGTACAAATACACTACCACCACCTCCCTCCAAAGGCTTTCCTAAAATTTCTTAATGATTTCAAATCAAAGGAGTTGTGAACATTTTTATTTTTCTAAATTTAGGAAAGGGACCAGAAGAGAGAGATCGGAACAAATGTTTACTGAACACCCACTACATGTCAAGCATGTACTAGGTAAAATCTGTAAGTATAAAACTTCAGCCCTAGCCGGTTTTGCTCAGTGGATAGAGCAGTGATGGCGAACCTTTTGAGCTCGGCGTGTCAGCATTTTGAAAAACCCTAACTTAACTCTGGTGCCGTGTCACATATAGAAATTTTTTGATATTTGCAACCATAGTAAAACAAAGACTTATATTTTTGATATTTATTTTATATATTTAAATGCCATTTAACAAAGAAAAATCAACCAAAAAAATGAGTTCACGTGTCACCTCTGACACATGTCATAGATTCGCCATCACTGGGATAGAGCATCAGCTTGCAGACTGAAGGGTCTCAGGTTCGATTCCAGTCAAGGGCACATGCCTGGGTTTCTGGCTCAATCCCCAGTGGGGGGCATGCAGGAGGCAGCCAATTAATGATTCTCTCTCACCATTGATGTTTCTATCTCTCCCTCTCCCTTCCTCTCTGAAATCAATAAGAAAACAAACAAACAAAAAACAACTTCCTTGCTTCTTCACTATAAACTTATGGGGGGTAGGAATTATTATTCCCTTTTAGCCATGGGGAAACTGAGACTCAAAGAGGTTAAGTATTTTGCCCAAGGATGTGCAGCTGGTAAGCAACAGCACCAAAACTTTCATCACCCAGGTTTTCAGATGCTGGAGAACAAGGTGGGGCAGAAGCAAATTAGAGGTTGATCATATCTGGCTCTATCTGATGCAAACTCATTTTCTCCAAAGAGTATCCCTGTGCATGGAGAAACCAAGTAGGTAAGGACAGATCCCAGGTAACTCTGGAAATGAGAGAGCCTTGATTTTCAATGCCATTGGTTGAAAGACCCTTGGAAACAGCTCACAGATGTGCCATCTAGGACATAGGATGGGGCATGATCCCTGGTCTGGGATAGAGGGGATGCTTGCCAGAGGACATCCCTAAACCACTTCCACATCTCATTACCTCCCAAAGATACACCAAAGTGATGCAGGCCTATCACCCAAAAAGGTACACCCAACTAGAACCTAAGTCCCCAGGAACCATCAATGGATTTTTAGTATCCAGTGGGAAAGCGTGGTATCATCTTGAGATGATTAAACTTGTTTTCAAACGTAGCAGACAGTTTTCACCACCACCTGACCACTCTGTCCCCTGAAAAGCCTGCCCACCTCCTCACATGTGTGGGTTGGCTGTAGGCTGTCCTCTTTCAGCTGTGCATTCACTGTACTTCAAACTAATCTGGCAGCTTCCCTACAAAAGTCTCTTCTTCTGCTTCCCCTCTGGGCCTCAAATCCCACATCTGTAAAACAAAGGATGTTAAGGAAACTCAGTCTCTGTCTGGCACCAACTCCTGGAATGAGAAGGTACATGGGCACACATCCCATTGCATTAAACAGTGAGGCGAACCACTAATCCACACACTGCCTGGGACCCTAGGTACTGCCACCTTCCCCTTCATCCCACCTTCTGCTCATTCTACTAATTAGTGAATTATTAAAATCCCTTAGAAACAGTCTCCTTCCTTCACTGCTGGACAGATGTGAAGGTGTACACAGCAGCTTCCTCAGAGACCCTACAGCTGGCTCCACCACCAGTCTCTCCCATATGTCAGGTCTCCTGGGACTGGCCGACAACTCTGCCTGGGTGCAGAGTTCCTCACTAGCGAAGGGGGGGGAAGGGGACACACATACACATACATCTCAGTTTTCCCACTTGTTGGAGGGGCTGAAATATTTGTCTTGCCTAAACCACAGTTGGTTATGAGGATCAAATGGGCAGTACAGGTGACAGTACCTGCTCTCTCTTCTCTATGTACTAATTCAATGTAAAATGAGATAGTGGCTGGTGAGAAAGCAGGGGCTAGAATATATGACCTTGCATTTCTCTTGCATTCTAAGAGTAAAGATTGTATGACCATCAGATCTCCTTGTCCAAAAAGAATGTAAGGAAAACTAGCTTATGAGTTCGAGGCTTTTTCTTTTTACTCTGGAAAAAGTAACTAGTTACTGCCCTTCCATTTATGACCCTGCCACCCTGAGAGAGTCACTGAACCGTTCTGAGCCTCAGTTTCCCACTTGTTGGATGGGGGCTAAAATATTTGCCTTGCCTACATCACAGGTGATGAGGATCAAATGGGCAGCGCGGGTGAAAGTACCTGCTCTCTCCTCTCTGAAGTTCTAACCAAATGTAAAGAATTATAAACACTGTGCTTGGAGTCACTCCTAGAATGTACTCGTGGGATATTTTGGTAATTGGCAGCAGTAGGACAAACTTCCTACCTTTACACAAAGCTATTTCTCACTAGCCATCTTCAAGCCCCATACTCTAAAGTTTAAGAGTCTAAACCTAGCTGTCCCATCTGATGGCCACCAGCCACTTGTGGCTACTGAGCAACTGAAACATGGCTAGTGGGATCTGGGGTGTACTAGAAATGAAAAGAAAACTTGGTATAGGAAAAAAGTAAAGTATCTCAATAATTTTTATATTGATTACATGTTTAAATTATAATATTTTGGCTATATCGGGCTAAACTAAGTATATTATCAAAAGCTAAACAAATTAATTAATAAAAAATTAATTCTGCCTGTTTCTTTTTACTTAATTTCTAACTTGGCTACTAGAAAATCTAAGATTACAAGTAGTTTATGTTTTATTTCTATGGGACAGTACAGCTCTAGGCAACCTCCATACCCTGCCCAAGTGTTTCTTTGCCTTTTCCTCCATCTTCCATGAGCCTAGCTTTCACATTCTGAGCCCCATCTCAAAAAGCTACAACTCTTTCTTGGGCCTTCTAACGGAGGGTCTCATCCCTCTGAATTTCCAAAAAGCACCATGAGACCGCAAGCTCCTTAAGAGCAGGGTCTGGACCTGACCAGCCTTTGTTAATACCCTTAGCATCTAACATGTACACAGCAGATGCCGACACATTTATTAACTGGATGAATAAATGAATAAAAGAAAGGCTGATTGAAAAGAGACGGATATAGATACTCTTGCAGAAAAGAGGTTGAGAATGCCAGAGAAAAGCAACAGTCAAGTACTCCTTGTTAGCCAGCCAAGCTCAAAATACACCAACTGGGACGTTTTGTAAACCTCTCAATTCCTCAGACTTGAGGAAGTAACACCACAACATTAATTCCTTTAGACGGGAATAAGACTTCTTAACAGAATGGTTGCCTTTCCCAAAAGTGAGCATTTTCTGCTCACTGTTGAGAGTGGCAGAGCAAATACTCATTAAACATCTGAAAAAAGTTATGCAGCTCAGCTTGCGGAATTTTAGTTGATCCAAGGGAAACACGAATTTTAAATTTTTGAGTTCCTGTAAAAAAGTATCTAAATGTCCTTGGGGCCCTGGCCGGTTTGTTCAGTGGTGAGGGCGTTAGCCCCTGGACTGAAGGGTCTCAGGTTTGATTCCTGGTCAAGGGCATATACCTCGGTTGCAGGCTCGATCCCCGGCCCTGGTCAGGGTGCGTGTGGGAGGCAACTAATCAATGTGTCTCCCTTACATCAATGTTTCTCTCTCTGTCTCTCCCCGCCCCTTCCACTCTCTCTAAA